CTCGGCGCCGTCGGCGCCCTCGCCCTTGCGCGCCTTCTTCTTGGGCGCGCCCGTCGCCTTGCCGCCCTTGCCACTGGCTGCCTCAGCTGGCGCCGCAGCGGGCGCCGCAGCTGGCGCCGCAGCGAGCGCCTCGCCCTGCGCGCCCGCCGCTGCAGCTGCCGCTGTCTGCACCTCGGCGCGCGGCCGCGCGGCCTCTGGCTCCTGATTGGGGGCGCGAGGTGTCATTGCGACCGCCCGCAAGGTGTCCTGCCGCCCCGGGGAACAGGACGCCCCATGGGCGAGCACGCACGATACCTCGCTGACTCGCATTTCGAGGCTCCACGGTTTACCCCAGGACACGGGCGCATCGAAGCTCAGTTATCATCGCGCCGTGGTTTGTTCGTTGGTTAATCCAATTGTCCTGGGCGCGCGCGTCCTGCATTGCCATGTGGCGCTTGTGCGGGGCCACGTCGGTCTCGCACTCGCTCCAGACCTCGTGCAGCTCCCAGGCGTCCATGAAGACGTGCGAGAATCCCTCAGTTGACACGGGTTCGATTCATCACTCGAAAACCCTATCCCCCTCGCCCGCGCCCCCCTCCACCTCCTAATTGCACCGTCTCATCTTCCTTCTCCGTGCCCGTCTCCACCTCGTGATCAGCATCCGTCCTTCCCGTCCGCTTCGCCCGCCCATCATCCTTCCTCACCGCCCTCCCGTCCTCCTCCGCCCCCCTCGCTCTGGTCCACGCCGCGTGGTCCGACCTCGCTCCGATGGGCGATGGATCGCACGCCGACCAGCAATCGAGCCGATCTGTGCGCGCGGCCACTTCGATGTACAGCGCGCGCAGCACCTCGGTCATCGGGTGCCACATGACCCACGGGGGGCCGAACTGCAAGCACTTGGTGAACAAGCGCAGCCCCTGCGGCTTAAGGGCAGGCTCCGCCATCCGTCTGCGTATGCTGCTCATCTTCCTCGTCTGCATTCTCCTCAACCTGCTCATCTTCCTCCTGCCCATATTTCCATCGTCTCCTTCCACATCCTCCGTCCCCTCATCGCTCCCCCTCCGCTTCCCCCTCCGTCACCCACTCCTCATCCTTCCGCCGCCCATCCTCCATCCACCCTCATCCTCCTTCTCTTCCTCCGCCCCCCACTCTTCCCCCTCCTCCTCCTCCTCCTTCTCCTCCTCCTCCCCACCTCCCCCCCCCTCCCCCCCCCCCCCCCCCACACCCCCCCCCCACCACACACACACACCACACACACACACACACACACACACACACACACCACACACACACACACACACACACACACACACACACACACACACACACACACACACACACACACCACACAAGGGAGACCACACACCCACACACACACACACACACCCAACACACACACACACACACACACCAACACACACACACCTTATCCTCCTAATTCCTCATCCTCATCCTCCTCATCATCGCCATCACCCCCGTCACCACCCAGCCCCCCCCCCTCCCCCCCCCCCCCCCCCCCCCATCATCACGATCACCATCATCTACCTGGCCTGCTGCCAGCCGAGGGGGCCACCGCCCTCCTCGACCGCGATCCTGCTCAGCGGCAGGTACCTGCCCTTCGTCCAGTCCTTCCGAACGACCTTGCGGACGTGTTTGGCGACCTCCTGGTGGTTGGATTGTCTGATCATGTCCCTGCTGTTACCTCCTCGTGCTGTTCCCCTTCTTCATCCCCCTCCTGCTTCGCCCCCTATCTCCTCCCTCCGCTCCCCCACCCCTCTCATGGTGCTGCTGCGGCTCATCCTCCTCGTTGTGTTCCTCATATCACACCTCATCGTCCTCCTCGTCATCGTCCTCGCCCTCGTCCTCGTCCTCCCGCATCCCCTTCCGCTTCCTCCTCCTCCTCCTCCCCCCCTCCTCCTCCTCCTCGCCCCCCTCCTCATCCTCCTCCTCCTCATCATCCTCCCCCTCCGCCTCCTCCTCTTCCTCCCCATCCTCCTCCTCCTCCTCGCCCTCATCCCCACCCCCCCTCTGGCGACCCCCCTCCCAAACGGCGCGCGGGGTCTTCGACGCGCTTGAACTGTTTCGCCGCCCAGTCTTTGCGGAAGGCCAGCTTCTTCTCGTTCTTGCGCTCGCCAGCGATAGCGTTGTAGATCTTGCGCAGCTCGCCATCTGACGCCGGCGCGCGGCTCCATCGCCCCGCAACTGGGTTGTTGCGGCAGTCAGCGCCGACGCGGCAGCCTTGCTGCTTGACCCCCTCCCAGAACTCCAGCTCGGCAGCGTTCTTCTTGTCGATGTTCTGCTGGAGCTCCGTCGTCGCCTGGCCTGCGTCCCGCTTCTCCTCGTCCGTCAAGGGGGGGCCCACTTCTCGGGCGTCTGCAGGAATCCATCGGTCGACGCGTCGCCCAGGAGCTCTTTCATGCTCTCGTCCACGTTCGAGCGTCCCTTGAACGTCATGAGCGCGAAGAAATCGGGGTGCTCGTACACTGACTTCAGCAACCGATCGACGCCGACGTCGTCGACGCTCCCGTCTGGCTTGAGGAGGGCATCCTGAAGAGCCGCTTTTACGTGTCATTCATATCATTCCTGAATGATCATCACGACCTCCCCTCCCATCCTCCTCGTCCTCCTCCTCCTCCTCCTCATCATCATCATCATCCGCATCCGCATCATACTCCTCATCAGTCGGCATCCTCATCCGTCGGCTTCCTCCTCCTCCCCCCTATCTACGCATGCCCTCGCATCCTCATCCTTACTCTTCTCGTCTGCTCCATCTGCTCCCCCCCTGCTATTCTGCGCGTCTGACCCCCATAATCGCCAGGGGCCCTCGTCGGAGGGCGATCGGATCTAAGCGGTTACATCGTCTCGGATACGGTGGCACGGGGTGCAAGGGCATGGTTGAAAGGTCATGATGCTAGACCCTTGGCATAGGCACGAAAGGGGGTGGGATTGGGGGGCGAGGGGGCGGTCAGAGGCGCGAGGGGGAGGGAGACGGGGCGGAGGGGCGGTGGAGTTGGATAGGTGGAGGGCGAGGAGGAGGGGGGGCCGGAGGAGGAGGAGGCGGATGCGGAAGCACAGGAGTGAACTCATACGCGAATTCATACGCGTATGTTTCCACGTATGACTTTCATGATCTGTTCGTTCAACATGTGGGTTGCGCCTAAGCCCTGACCCGAGGGCGAACGATGGTTTTGTCAGACACAACTCACCAGATATCATCTGGAAGCGCATCAGGCTTGATGAAGCCTCCCGAGCTCGAGTTCGCCGAGCTCGCAGCGCTTGTGCCAGCTGCTGCGCTGGCGGTCTGCGGCGCGCTGATGTCCGTCGGCAGCGTGCTGACGCCATGCTGCGGCGTGATCTTCTCGATGCTCTTCTGCGGCGTGATCTTCTCGATGCTCGTCGGCGGGATGCCCTGCTGTGGCTTGGCGGGCTCGGCGTCGGGCTCTGCGACGGGCTCGGCGTAGGCAGCTGCTGGCCGCTTCGCGGGGCTTGCCGCCGCGGCGACGGAGCTGCAGCCGTCCTCCTTCTCATCAGCGGCCTCTGCAATCTCGTCGCAGGTCGAGGGCCCCCCATCGCCGCGGGCCTCTTCATGAAGGGTGCATCTGGCTCCTCGTCCTCGCCCTCGCCATCGTCCTCATCGTCGTCGACCTGGCGCGGCTGGTCGTCGCTATCGCCCTGGCCATCTTTTCCGTGACTGTCGTCATCCGAGGCGGTCTTCCTCTGCTTCTTCTTGGGCTTGTCCTCGTCGTCCTCGTCGTCGC